GGTTGACTGGACATCACTATTTTGAAACTGTGAAAGCTTCAAGAGAAACATTGACTTTCTTGCCGGCTGGCCATCTACTGTGCGCATCATTGGGCCCTATTTTTGTGTGTTACTTGAGCATCGTTGATCCATATCCTTTTAATTAAACATTGATTGTATTTTGATTGAATTGTTTGGCCAAACGAAATTGTTGTTACACAATAAAAGCTGATTGGAAATTCATTTATTGTTATTTTCCTGTGTCCTTCCCTAAACGATTACAAAAAAAAATATGGAATCCCTCGGAAATAATCTTAACCTTCATTTGACCTTGACTCAGGCCGGAGTGGTGTTATCCCCCCCCCCCCCACTTTGTTTTTTTTAATTTTGGAATTGCTTTATTTAAATAAGAAAGAGATTGAGAATGTTGTCGCTTTTTACCGCTGACCGGTATACCGGCATGCAGTAGAATTTATCGCGTGGTGCCCAGCCACAGGCTCAGTAGGCCTGCGCTTGTACATGTAGCTAGCTTGTGGCGCTCCCCCGGCCCCCAGCGCCGGCCGGTCAACATGACCATCGCCAGCACAGGTGCCCGTGACATCGTTTGTGCCGCGCCTGGCTGGCCACACAGCCGGCTATGGTCGGATCGTCCGTGATTCAGAATGTTTTGCAGTGGCCAGTGTGCCATCTTTACATAAATTATTATTTGCGGGTTTAGAGGCTTAGTGCTAAATCTACCGGTAGCTACAGGGTATATTACATCATTTTTAATTTTTTGGTAAATATGGTTGAATTATACATCAAATTAAAGCTCTGGACGGGAGAAAGACAATGGTGCAAAAACATAAATGCCATAGGTACTTCTCTTCATGAGTTATGCCCTCCCAAAGACACCGTACTCATGGAACTCTTCTGGTCGTCATACACGTACACATGTACATGTATGTGATATTGTTAGAAATGAGCATACTGTTCCAATTTAGTCAAACTTTGCATCAAATTAAAGCTCTACATGTGAGAAAGAAAATGGTGCAAACGATATTGCCATAGGAGCTTCCCATCAGGAGTTATTCCCTCCCAAAGACACCATACTCCATGAATTTTTCTTGTCGTAATTTGAGTCAAAGTGACTGTGTCCCTTATTTAATTATCATTATTATTATTATTATTATTATTATTACTGTTTATTTTAAATTCAAATATAGCCAAAATTGACATCAAATAAAAGCTCTGGAAAGGAGAAAGACAATGGTGCAAACAATATTGCCACAGGTGCTTCTTATCAGGAATTATTTCCTCCCAAAGACACCATACTCTATCAATTCTTCTTGTCGTAATTTGACTTTTGATTCAACGTGATCTTTCGTGACTGTGTCCCTTATTTTATTAAAGATGAGAAATCAGAGAATACTACCATCAGTGGTATGTAAAAAAAAAAACATGCCCAAAAAGGGTGCGCCAGTGTTTGGAAAAACTCCTCAGTAGGTTGGGAAACCAGGCGTGTGGCCTAACGTACAACGAAGCAATATGGAGGCCACACAAGTGGGGCTTACTAGGAATAGGAGTAGGTTAGCTCTACTGAGTGGAGCATTGAACTACGGTACCCTCCGTACAAACGCTCCACCGATTTGGCATACTTTGGTGACAGGTACACGGTCGTCAAGACGGTATGCATTTTGTGCATGCCCTTGCGAGGACAAAAGACCAAAAAAAAAACTGATAATGAGAATACAAATGAGAAAGACAGTAACCCTGGATAGATCCACACATTCATGGCATTCCATAAGACCCCTTAAATTGTTCCAAACAACTGGTCATTTTGAAAAAAAGAACAAAATAGTCTGAACTTACCGCTCACAATTAAATGTGTCTGCCGAGTTGTACAGTCCATTTCACTGACATGACGGATGCATAATTCATCGCGCGCGTGTGTGACGTCACCATTAAAGAAAACAAGTTGCGCTTACTCAACGACTGTTTCATGTAGTCATATGTGCCCCGCGCCGTCTGACAGTGTGGGCTTATGGCGCAGGACACATATGACTACATAAAACAGTCGTTGATTAAGCGCAACTTGTTTTTCTTTGAACGAGCGGCGACGTCACGTCAGACACCCTCATTCGGCAAGTCGGTGCAAGGTCTGAGCTTCACGGCAAACACATTGAGCTGTAACTTTTTTCTGACTATTTTGCTGGGTTTTTTTCAACATTTTCGCTGTTTGGGAACAATATAAGGGGTCTGATGGAATGTCATGAATGTGTAGATAAATCCAGGGTAACTATCTCTCTCACTTGTTGTATTCTCGGTAATCCTTACTTTTAGGACCCCGTTCCTATATATAGGAAGGGAAAGACTCACCAAAACAGTTGACTAAATGACACTCAAAATTGACATTCTGATACCTCTTGGCACATCTGAACAATTGGCAATGACACCTTCTTGAATATCAGCAGGTTTAATTTTGTGGAAAGAGGGCAGGGCTTTGATTTATGAGGGAAATTCAGGAGTAAAAGACGACGATGACAACCAGAAAACAGACTCAAAAACCAAGATGGCAAACGTGAAAGCTCGATGCAATGAAGGCTCGTTGCTGATTGGCTGATAAAAAATAAACATCTTATTTATTTTTTTTAGCAGCCAATCAGCATCGGGCTTTCATTATGTAGGGCTTTCACTGTGTTGTGATAGCCCAGGTTGGACGAAGTCTTCATTGCATTACGACTAACGTCCAGGGTGAGAATTCTCTACATAAGACCACCCAAAATTTGGACCAGATTTTTGTTACGTTTTACCTCGTTACAGAAGCTTATTTCACGCCTACATTTTCTATGTGTCCTTACCTATTGGGCCGCTGGGTTCAGGAATTCCATATGTGATGCTGACCGACATTAATCAGGAAAATAAACTCTAAAGCAACGTTAAACTTGTAAGTGTTTGTAGTCTCTTTTCATCAGTTTATTCCCAGAGTCGTACGTCATGTACAATGTACGTGAGTACGTACGAGGTACGAAAGCGAGCACGCACGCTAGTGCCCTCATTTGTTTAGTTTTGGTTGGAACAGTGACGTCACTCCAGCCAACCGATGTCACGAAAACGCTCAACCAATGACCAAAGCCGAAACGTGTTTCTGGTAACTTGCGCGAAAACACGCTCGGTCATTGGATTAGCGACCGCGCCTTCAAGTAAGTGTGCGTGCGTATGAGGGTGGTTACTAAGCAAATCGCGCGTGCGCACTGCATATTCATGCTGCATAGTCTGGCCCCCGGACCAGACGTGATATGAGCGTCGAGAATAATTGTCCGGTCTAGGGAACCAGACTACACGCTGCACAGACGTACATCATGTACGACTATAGACTCGGCAGTGAGAAACTGATAAAAAGAGTCTACAAACACGTACAAGTTTAACGTTGCTTTCGAGTTTATTTTCCAGATTAAGGTCGGTCATCATCGCATATGGAATTTCTGAACCCAGCGGCCCAATAGATAAGGACACATAGAATACTACGACGTAATAATTGGCTTCTCCAACAAGGTAAAAATATTGAAAATACTGGTCATAAATTTTTTCGCCCGGTTTTGAGCACTTTATACCCTGGACTCCCTCCGTTACGTACAGAGGAAAGGGAGTCCACCTGGGCTATGTGTCATGTGTGTTGTGAGAACTACAACATGCATGATGCACGTCTGACTGCGAAAAAAAGGTAGGAAAGTCACATTTTCTTTGAAAGTGCTTTCAAAATTACAACTAACATGAGTTTATATGAAGAAAAAAGACCGCTTTAGCCTGCAAAAGTCACTTTGGTACTGGACAGACATCTGCAAAAGTCAGTTTTGAACAGAACTTGTAAAAAATAGAGGTGTCCTAAAAGTAAGGATTACCGTATTCTCCTTACCGGCTTTTTGGGGTCTTTTTGTCCTCGCGTGGGTATGTACACTATCATGCTACTGTGAAGCCGTCACCAAAGTATGCCAAATCGGTGGAGCGTTTGTACGGAGGATACCGTAGTTCAACGCTCCACTCAGTAGAGCTAGGTAGCTGGAGTTACCCAGCCCTGAGTTTTATCATTGGGTTGTCATCTAGGGCTGGAGCGAGTTTTTCTCGTAACTTGTAGTATAGGCAAAAAAATTTGGAAAATGTTCAATTTTGTCCCCGTTACACACTAATTGCAACTGCAACTCACCCCAAACTTGCCTGGAATAACCATTACACAGGTCCTTGAAGTAAAAAACGATCCACGATGAAGATTCAGCCTACAATTGCAGTGAAAACAGGAGGAATAACCGCTAACCTGACAACCTTTCAGGCATGGCCAGGACTGCAATTGGTTTGTGCACAAAAAAAATTGTGTACAATGAATGGCGGTCGAATAACAGGCACAGAGAGCGATCGCTGTCAACTACTCGTTTTTGCCGGCTGCGCTGGCTGTTGGCGCATGACATCACGCGGAAGCGCAACACCCGATGACTGTTTCATGCACTAATATAAGGTTTACCACTCGTGCATGAAACAGTCATCGGGTGTTACGCTTCCGCGTGACGTCATGCGCCAACAGCCAGCGCAGCCGGCAAAACCGAGTAGTTGACAGCGATCGCTCTCTGTGCCTGTTATTCGACCGCCATTCATTGTACACAATTTTTTTTGTGCACAAACCAATTGCAGTCCTGGCCATGCCTGAAAGGTTGTCAGGTTAGCGGTTATTCCTCCTGTTTTCACTGCAATTGTAGGCTGAATCTTCATCGTGGATCGTTTTTTACTTCAAGGACCTGTGTAATGGTTATTCCAGGCAAGTTTGGGGTGAGTTGCAGTTGCAATTAGTGTGTAACGGGGACAAAATTGAACATTTTCCAAAATTTTTTGCCTATACTACAAGTTACGAGAAAAACTCGCTCCAGCCCTAGATGACAACCCAATGATAAAACTCAGGGCTGGGTAACTCCAGCTAAGAGCTAGGACAAAAATGTAGGAGTAGGACCGAGTTGGTCACGGACCGAGTTGACCTGAAACCCAAAATAACTGACCTGCACTGCATAATGAGTTTTGCTCTCCAGCATCTGAATGTGTCCGATGTTGTAAAGGATTTTGGCTGATGGTTCCTGAATCAACTGTAGGCTGTCTAGGGCTCTGGCCCGATCACCCCGGTCGAAAAGCTGCACTGCCTCATGCCAGATGACGAGCGTGTCCTTGTGAGTCTGCTTCTCACCCATAATCAAAAATTGGAGTTCTTTTAAAAGTTTTATTAAAGACTGCACAGACTGCAGCTACGTCGAATCCTATGTGGAGATTTTTATCTGTCACACTGCCGGGGTTGTATACAATTCACGAGAAAGGTGTGGGGGAAATGCAAGTCATATTTCCGTGTCCCTGAAAAGCAGATGTAAACTTCAGGAACGCGGAAGTAAAAGCAAAGTTTTAAATGGGACCGATCGGCAGGGTGACCGTAAGGTCATGACTAAATTCTGCTAATTGCGCTTCAAAAATCTGTCAGATTTATCAAAAATCTGCCAAATTCCCCAGAATTACTCGAAATACACTAAAAACACTTTAAATCACATGCAGATGTTGTAATGTTGCCTTAATTAATGTTCAAATTACATTGTAAACAATCTATAGCCACATAAAGGTATTATGAAATTTCGTAAATTTCAGGCAAAACCATGGAGGAAGCACTGATCTCTATATAAAGACTGGATAGCGGATATGCATACAACATTCACACAGTAGACTTCGCACATTGACCAATTCGCCCCCGGTCTCACGAAGATGGCCGCGTATAATACGAACGTTCTACGCGTAAATACGCGCGCGTTGTATCAACAGTTGACGCGCATTTTGGTCACGTACACATATTATGATGGTCTAAAAGGGACACATTTCCGTAGTGATTATTATTTCAAAACGCCGAAAAAGTTATATTTGCGGCATTTTAGTAACCACGACGTTAGAAAAATTGTAGTTAACCTTGATCAGTGATGGTGGTCAAAATATAAGTCAAGTGAACCGCGACGTTACAAAAGAAATCATGCTGTCTATAAAAACGGCAACATGTCCTTTGTAGATCACCAGCCGGTCTCACCAATATGGCGTCAAATTCGTACATTGTGCGGCTCTGTATTAGCTATCCAGTCTTTATATAGAGATCAGTGGGAGGAAGTGGCAAAACGCCGCGACGAACCATGGCATGGACGAACTCAGGTTCCCAGTGAACTTCAGCACCTAGACCAGGCAACCTGTCCTATTTTGCAAGGGTTTCTTTGAAAAGATTTAAGCTTTTGTAACCAAATGTACCATTTTTTGCAAATTTGCTGTTTTTCTGTCAAGTAACCATTTTTGCAGAATTCTGCCAGAACAACAAAATCCATTCTGTCAATTTTTCTGTCAAACTCGTTTTTTTAACAAAAAAAATCTGTCAACATTAGCCGAAAATCAGCTAAAACGGTCATTACGCCGATCGGACACGTTCCGCTGAAAAAAAAAAAATAGGAATTAGCTATGGAACGCCAGTGTGGAATTTACATGTAATTATGATCATCGAACGGGTGAAGCACAATCGGTGATGCTTATGTGATTCGCTCTTTTCACACTTCCGCCATGGACATGCAGAGCCTCGATCTGGCAACTTTACACAATAGATATAGCCGGTTCAGTGATTCCCGTGTCGGGGTTCAGATCTGCACTGAACTATTTTTTTTGTGTAAAGTTGCCAGATCGAGGCTCTGCATGCCCAATGGCGGAGTGTGAAAAGAGCGTACTACGGTGGCCCACAACTGTCACGGCAAAAGCAAAAGTGCCACGGCAAGCGCAAAAGCGCCACGGCAAGCGCAAAAGCGCCGCGGCAAAAGCAAAAGTATGGAATTCCATCTCTGCCAAGTTACACGGCGCATGTTTGGGAGATCCAAGCAAGAATCCCAAACATGCGCCGTCAACGGCGCATTGTCGCGTCGTGCCGTCGCATAGTCGTGCCGTCGCGTCGTGCCGTCGCATTGTTTTGTACTGTTTGTATAGGGCCGTCGCATTGTCGCGTTGTGCCGTCCCATTGTCGCGTCGTGTCGTCGCATAGTCGCATTGTCGCATAGTCGCATTGTCACATTGTCGCATTGTCGCATTTTCATTCATTAATTTTCCAGGGCTTCACCAAGAGGGCGCTGTTGTGCGGTGTTTGGGTGCAACTAATTTTGTCATCCTCCACATATATTCCAGTTGCTTTCGAGTTAGAAATCGTGCCAAAAGATGAATAGGCTTACATCTTCAGAGTATACATTAATGAATCCTTTTATGCGTTGCCAAGAGAACAGTATCCTTTTGAAATGCATGTACCCGCAAGCCTTAGGCCTAACACTATATAGTCAATCGCCCGAATGTATCGATATTTTAAACAATCGGAGGGTATAGCTCCTATCCAGAACTAATAATTAATACAATAGATGACCGCGGCAGGACCCACCCGTCACTAGATAGTAGATACACATTTACAAGAGTATTGGACACGGTCCACCGTACTTTTATTTCCATATTCAAACGATAGCCTGCCCCCTCCGACTGTTAATTTGTGAATGCATATTTTTTAATTGACTTGTTGTAGTTGTAACTATTGCTATTATCGGTCGGGTGTGGTGTCACGATATGGAATTCTGGCACCTGATTGGTCAGTTTGGCTTCTCCGTGTTTCTCTCTTGAGTGAAAGTTTTCATTGGCATGTCTATGACTATGAGTGAGCATGTCAAATTCAACAGCTCCGACCGACTCAATACTAGAATAATCAGGGTTAGAATCCAGAAGAGAATAGAATAAATTTTAGCTTCTCAGAACTATGTTTAATGTTGCATCCTGTTTCTATGTATTTTCCTTGTATATGTTGCAGAAATGTTGAAAAGCTATGGACCTAATTCTAAACAAAATTAAAGCTTTAGTTAGGACATAGGCCTATGTTCTTATATTTGAACTTGAGCTACAATGATGTTTTCCATTTGACCTAGTGTCTATGAATTTTCACTTACATGTAATTCCCAGGGTATGATCTGATCTGCCATTACTTTGCAGCTGGTTACACCTATCCTGAAATTTGTGGCATTTTAGAGATTCGACATGGTCTTCGTTGCAGGTAATTTATGATTAAAAATAATGTTTGAGAAAAACAGTCCTTTTTAAAAACGTAAGATCATCCAATTAATTCAAGAGGTGCAAGAAAAAGTGTTTGCCCAATCCCTCCCTGCCAAAATGTCATGGAATCATTCTTTCCGAACCTCTCCGACATGAGCAAGCCAAAAAAACCTACAGACATTTTAAAGATACCCCATTAAAGATGAAGAAATAGGCCTAGTTCCACAAAAGAAGTTCACTTGGCAGCGGTTGCATAAGGCCCCTATAAAATGCGACAATGCGACAATGCGACAATGCGCTTGGATCTCCCAAACATGCGCCGTGTAACTTGGCAGAGATGGAATTCCATACAAAAGCGACACGGCAAGCGCAAAAGCGCCGCGGCAAAAGCAAAAGCGCCGCGGCAAGCGCAAAAGCGCCGCGGCAAAAGCAAAAGCGCCACGGGTTTATTGGGAAGGGGCGTAATCATACATGCCGCTACTACATCAAAAAATAAAATGGGAAGGAGAATGAAAACCGGTCAGTGCAAGCAACGATCCAGGGAATAAATCGTCGATATTAATTTGTTGTAGGATAATTCCAAGATTATTCCAAGAGAGTTGCTGCCGTGAATCAGAGTTTATAAAGGAGTGGGACTCGATCGCTATCAGCACCATCAGGGCCGTTCCACATTTCTTTACATTTCTTGGGATGCAAACAATTACGAGGACGGGAAGCTCTGTGAGCTGATGCATTTTTTTGAAGAGTTTTTTTTTTCCTTCCGACTAGCATGCAGAGAATAGTTCCGTTAATTTAAGCCTTAGTTCACCGGTGTGTATACCAGTGTAGACACACAAGTGAGCTGCCCAGAGTGTATGAGTTAAGTTTTTCTTTTCTTTTTCAGTATATCACACACACGCGGATCCAGATGGGGACACACCCTGCCCGTAACCCCCCCCCCCCCCCTTTTCGCAACTTTTTTTTTTTTTTTACGAGTCGTCTTAGGGCGGGCGGGCATTAAATACATCCCTTTGAGAACATGATCTTTTTCGTTTTTGAGGAGTCATTATGGCGGGCGGACGGGCGGTCATCAAATCAATCGCTTTGAACATAACTATCATACATAATTATCAACAAAAATATACAATATAAGTTTTGAAGGTCGCCTGTCAATCATTGTCTCAAAATTTCTTTCAAAGCAAGAATATATTTTTATAAGACACTTTTCTATTTCCCAGCTTGAATAGGGGGCACATTTAATACAGCACTTGCATTTAATGCTTCATGTCAAAATATATTCATAAATATATTCTAGAGTAGAACATGTACCGGTACACGAAATAATGTAGGCCATGTGTTTTTTTTAATAAATGAAGAATAAAATCGTCATCCCCCTTTTTTTATTTTCCCGGCCTCAGATAGAGATTCAACGTCTGGTTCTCTAAATATTTGTTTAAAAGCAAAATGATTAAAAAAAAAAACCTAGCCCGTTAAAGTTTGCACTCTAAGTTAATTCTTTTGTAGATTCCAGGGGAAATTTAATACGAATTATGCTCGGTTTTTCTTATTTTTTAAATGAATATGATCAGGATTAACAACATCCCTCAAATAATAGCGTCAAAATATATCCCAAAACATATTCTACAGTAAAACATTTTCACAAAATAATGTAGGCCATGCGTTTTATTTTTTAAATACACGAAGAATTAATCGTCATCCCTTTTATATTGTCCCGGCCTCAGATAGAGAGAGACATCAAATAAATAGGGGTTATTTTAATACGATTTAGTATGTCTTGTTCTCTCAATTTATTTTTTAAAGTAAAACGATTTCAAACACCCTAGCCCATTAAGTTCTGAACTCTCAGTTAATTCTTTTGTAGATTCCAGGGGAAATTTTAATACGAATTAGGCTTAGTTTTTCCTAATTTTAAAAGGAATACGAATAAGATTATCAACAGCCCTTTGACTTCAAACTTAATTTCAAAATGTATTCCGAAATAATTATATTCTAGAGTAACATTTACAAAAATAATGTAGGCCATGCAGTTTTATTTTTTAAATAAGCGAAGAATAAAATCGTAGTACGAAAAAAGACATCGGGAGCCCTACATTTAATGAATTATTTGGACTTGGAATATCATCCCCCAATCGTTTATCTATGTGCATGTACACAACACGGAGGTGAAATGTCACGTTCAATTCAGTTTCCCACATTTTTCGCATAAAGTGTTCCCCTGTCTATGAGGGGAAAAAATGCCCAAATAAAATCTCGGCTCCGAAAAGCCTTTCCAGAGAATGATTGATAGCCGCATTGTTCAAATTGATACAATGCCACTCTTGTTCGTTACAAAGCATATACATTTG